CTGTAAAGTGAAAGGTTGTGCCTGCCAGAATTCAAGACTATTGCTATACAGATATCTTCCATGCCCAAGAGGCTTAACAGAAGCGTTACACACTCTTCAGCAGAAAAACGTTAGATTTTATTAGGATTTTTTTCCTCCATCCTGAGGAATATATGTTAGAGAGTGAGAGAAAGAGAGAGAGAGACAGAGAGAGTGTACACACACACATATATCAATCAGTGTTAAATTCATTATGCTTTAATTATATTTACTAATCATACTGGACCAAAGGGTGATGGAATTCCACAGAAAATTCTGTTATTCAAATGAAGATTTGCTTTGCTGAAATAATTCATATTTTCCTTACATATTTTCAAAAGCATGACAGAAAAGCCTGTATTTGTTTCTATTTTTCAGAACTCTCTTCTTTTAAATACTCTGTGATTGCATATCCTCTACCATGTTATTTTGCTTAAAGTACCACCTTCTAGCTTTCATTCAATTTTGTATTGATTTTGTATTTTAAACACAATTCATCATTATTAAGAACTGTCTCTAGCATTTGCTCAGCAGAAACTACTCTGTGCTTCCTGCATACTAATTAAATGCTATGGAACACAGAAACAGGCTTAGGGGTGAGAAGCATTTTTTCCAAGCCATATTTCATTTGGTATTGAAAACAGTTTTAAAAGATGCATATTCTTACACTATATTCATCCACCTTCATGCTGTTGGACAAGATGATTCCTGAAGTCCCTTCCAACTGCTATATTCTATATTCTGCCTCTTCCTCATTTAAATTTTTACCTCCCTTTTTTTGCACCACCAAACAACACTGCAAATTATGTGCCTCAAAGGAGTGCTATTGTTCCACATATATTTTGTCAAATAAAAATACTCAATAAAATCATAAATTACATCAGTTGTGACTGGTACTGACAAAGGCAGAGGTAACATCCTCATAACCAATGCACTCAAACTTAGAGCTGTGCAGCACTTTCTGATAACAGAAATACAAGCTGTACTTAGGAGCTAAACTGTGAAAACGTGGGAGCTATTTTTTAAATGCTGAAGTCCCCACAATCTTCTGCTCTCTCCTTACATTCACATTTTCATCACCTATCCTAACTCAGAAACCTTATGCTATAGCAGCCTCCTCTTTATACAGCTTCACTAGGGCTCAAAGTGCAGCTTTGCTTTCTCAAAATGTCCATGCCAAATTAGATATAAGCATCTGAAAATATGCATCATGTAATCACAGAATTTCATAGAATTTTAGGGGCTGGAATAGACCTTATAGATCATCTAGTCCCAATTCCCTGCCATGGGCAGGGACACCTCCCACCAGACCAAGTTGCTCAAGGCTTCATCTAACCTGGCTTTGAACACTGCCAGGGTTGGAGCATCCACTGCCTCCCTGGGCAGCCTGTGCCAGTGTCTCACCACCCTCACAGGAAAAAAACTTTTCCTAATATCTAGGTTAAATTACCCCTGGTTCAATTTGAATCTAATCCTATCACAAATGAAATCAAAAGTTTTTTGATTTACAAAGACTCTGAAGGTTGCCTCCTGCTTAAACTCATAACAAGCACAATTTACATTTTAGTTCATCTTCTTAAAAGGATCTTTGCGTGTGCATTCACTGTAGTTGCATACATGTGACACAAGTATTTAAGTAAAACACCCATTAAGAGCCCAAATTTCATTAACAGATAGTTTAACCATATCCATACTAACATTTATAGGGTTACATACTTAAGGTATCCTGCAGTGAATAACAGAGGGGATCTACCCAAGCTGAGACCTGGTGAAATATATCAACTGAGAAATGAAAGGTTTTTAAACCACAAGCATCAGTTTTTGAAAACTGCACTTCAAAACCACATTTTTGGGGTTGCTTGGAGTAGAATTCCTGTCTAAGTCAAACCAACTATAAAATTAGTCAAAAAGTCACGCTGTAAAGGCTGGATTTGTCTCTATTCTCACTTACAAAGAACAGATAAATAAAACAAGGATTGAAGTTAGCATTTCAGAGTCCCTTCAGTATGTAGTTTGTTGATCACTTTAAGGCAGAATAAACCAGCACCACTGTCAAAAGAATTGATCCTATCCTCTGTACAAACCCCAGCTGTCCATACACCCCCTTACACTAGCACGAGTCTTCACTCGATCACACAGTGAACTGAATTGGGAAATTGATCCATGTCCAATTAATCAAGAAGAAAAAAATCTTCCTAGGGAGATGCATTCAAAATTGCCTTCATTGCTTCTTGATTTATCTCCCCAGTTCTTCCAATAGAAATCAAAATAAGGCAAAGCCACGTTTCAGGACCTCCCAGCATGACATTGGCCACGCTGCTCCAAGGAAGCAGAGACAGACCTGCCTGAAACAAAATTACTCATCTTTGTTACTGGAGGCAAAGCTATCAAATTTTGGGATCAATGGGACATCCATTTCTGTGGAATCTGCTTCAGGTATCTCACTTGCAATACATCTGGCTGAAAGGGCTGAGGCTGTCATTTGGGTGGGCAAAGATACAGAAAGACTGATTGACACAGTACCAAACACATCTTCACAAAACAGCTTCTCTTGTGTTAAGAGATGGTTTCTGAACTTCTGGGCTGTTTAGACAGTGTGATATAGCTGGCCCTTGACACACAGGAGTACCAAGCACATTCTTCTTGTGTCAGTAATCCAAAATCAGTTTGAAGCTGTAAACCCTGCAAGACTACCCTGGCACTAGCACAAAGACAGGACTTAGGACAGAGCAACTCAGCTCTGCTCACACTCAAAAGCCACATAATATAGACCAGAAGTGCCCAGGATACAGGCACAGGCAAGACATATTCATAAAGGCAAGACATCAAGCCTCTAAAATGTACATGAACTCCTTCACCCTCTGTAAAGCAAGCCATGGCTGTAATTAAAACCTGATGACTTCAAATAACTGGATTCCAGATTTTCACCATGGTTTGTGGAGTCTGCCAATTTATCTCAAGCCTAAGAAGCTGAGTGACTTTAGAGCAAGTTGTACAGAGGCTGATGCAATAGTTCAAAAGCTAATCTTTGCAGAATTATAAACATCAATCCTTTTGTATCTATACAGGACTAATTGGATTGAGAAACACAGAAAAGTCCAAACACCAGGACCGTCAACAGTTCTAATTCCCTAACTAAAAGCTCTAATTCCCTAACTGCAAGACAGGCGGACTCTAACATAAAAATAAACATTCTGATATGAATAGACCTAAAAAACAAGCTCCTTCCTACATCTGGAATTATGCAATTAACCTGATCCTGAACTTAGAGAAAGACAACCTGGAACTCACAAGGGTATATACACTTTGCATCCAAGGTACTTCAGAGTGGAAAAAGCTCTGTTTTTAAATCCCTTCAGTCTTCCAAAAGAAGCTCGTGTCAATCACAACTCTAAGGTTGTCAATGTGAAGCTCCCACAGGAGAAGAAGAAAAACAGGGGGTGGACTAAGGGGATTCACAACTTTATCCATCATGCTTAAAGGGAATGAGTGGGTCCACAGGAGTGGACATGCCCTGTAAGTTCCCAGACCCACTTTGAGTAAGGGCACACATAAGGTAAAAGAAAAATCACAATTATTATATACCATGTTCGTGAATAGAAATTATCAGGTCAATTCCTTTGAGGCTTTAGGACAGTCAGATGGTATTTCCAGTCTAGTCAAGTCTATAATACATCCTTCTTTTTCAGTAAGGCTCCACCTGTACTACTTATGTAGGTTTTAGATGGCAGTCCAGAGATAGATTAGCACTTGTATCAGGCCAGCAGGATGCAGACTATTTCTTCATCAGCCTCTCCTTATGTGAACTCTTGCATTGCAGACCTTAGTGCTTCTACATATTGGGAGGAATCTCCCTGTTGCAAAGCAACCTATCACTTGATAAAACCACAAGCTGTGAGATCAACTGAGAAAGACTGATCTCATGCTATAGATGTTTTCACTTTTTTTTAAAATTACTTTTCCTTTCTGAAAATTCAAGTAGTAGTTACATTTGGTACTTGTGCAATGCCTACATGCTGTTAATTTTTAAAATTCTTTAATTAAAAATTAAGATAAAAATCAGAACCTGGTTAAGACTGACCATAATATTATTCATGGCTCAGTTTCTAAGGAACAGGCGCCCACCAACATTTCTGAGGACCACCTATAACAAGCTCTCTACTTTCCAATTTGAAAATCTGAATGTATTTTTCCTACATAATTAGACAACTCTAATCTGCTTTTATTCAGGTTTTTTATATACATCAAAAATATGCCCAAGAACTGCACTGCAATGAAGCAGTCTACCTACACTGAGCTTTTGTAATTTTAAATTCTTGTGAGTTCAAGGTCTGAGACTTTATACTATTGTCACAAAGTAGTTAGCAAGAGGTCACACATTAACTTCCAGTTCAGTCTGTCATCTAAAGACTGGAGGACTAATAGTCAACGTATGAGGTCTGACATAAAGCCTTTTTGAAAAATGTATTAGTGACTCTTCAAACTCAGTTCACTTGAAGCTGAATTTTCACTATGGAATTGGGGTCAAATTGAACAAGAACATCAGTTTTTGCCTAAAAGCCTCCTCTGCATCATGAGAACAAAGCTCATAAATTAAGATATTGACCCTGTTTCCTTGTAGCTATATCAGTGTTGGTATGGAAGAAGTTTAAAATCCTTTTCTTGAATAACATTTTAAGTGTCAGCTTCTTCAGACACTGGAGTTGTGTAGCAGCTAGCACAGCCAACAGCACAACATGGATCAGCTTCATTTTTAATGGAAGATACATATCATTGCTGAGAAAATACTACCATGGAAGCTGCTAAAGCAAATGGAGAAAGTTTTGTTTACCAACAAAAAGTACAATTCAATTTGAACAGTAACTCACCTAAAGTCACACTTTCTAATATTCCAAACTACATTTGATGTTCTCTAATTCAGCAGCTACCTCTACTATACCATTGTGTTAGCTCAAAGAAAAGAGGAATATTTTCCCCCTTACCTCTCTGTCAGCCTTTGCTGGAATCTGTCCTTGAGTCTCTCTCAACTTGCGAGCATTGTCGAGTTCTGCTTGAAGCTCTGAAGCTAATTCCTTCAAAGAAAATGATAGCACTCCATTAATTTAACCATTTTAAACTTTTAGAAACCTTTATATCAGAATTAACTATTCATTCCATCTCTTTGTGTTGTGAATTTTTTGAACTCTTATGACACAAAAGACTAAAGAAAACATTTTAATATAATTCATGCATTTCTTTACTGGACGTAAACTTTTTAAAAATGTTCAGAATAGAAGTGTCTAAAGTATAAAAACATATATTGCAACAAGAAGACCAGAAAATTATTCTTAAACATTGTTAAGTTATACTAATAAATGCTTTGAATAGCTAAGCATAGATTCTACTTTATGTATAGAAAGATAAATAGGGAATCCTGAACACATCAAGTTATCAAGTGCATAACCTTTCCAGGTTACACATATGCTTTTAAAAAATATATACACATACATATACATATATATATTCATACGTACACACACACACATGCAATGGATCTAGGGAAATATCTCTGGGACATTTTTGCTATGCAGTTTCATATCTTTCTACACGTCATGTTCGACTTTTGCACTTAAGGCCTTATTTTGAATATTGAAATGCACAAAAGGTGGAAAATGAGAAACTGTTTAGAGTCTTGTGTAAATTGTTTTTGATGCTCCTGCTCTCTCATCCATCTCCTTATTAAATAAATACAAGCATTTCAGAATATCTTGAATTGCTAGGAATTGCCAGGTGACAATCTATCAACCTGTAACAAACAGAACCAGTTATACTCTGACCCCTTTGCCAGTTTCATTGATTGGGCTCCAACAACCATGCCCATATTTGCCACCCCAATACTAAGTCATTTGATCAACACCAAGCAGCAAGCCAGTAACAAAAATAGATTCAGAATTCATTTGTCCCACATGGCCAACCTTGAGCTCCAGCCACCAGGACATGCTGTTACACAGCCATCTGCTCTGGTGTGTGGGGATGAACTTGTTTAAACAAGCTGCATCTTCAATCTCATCACAAAAAGCCCATGAAAAATATTTAAAGAGCAACAAGGCAAAGATCAGTTATTTTATTACTTATACTGTCACTGTTCGTTGGAGTTTTTTTTAATTGGGTTAATTGAGTGTGCATATGTAGAAAAATGTATGTAGATATAAAATTAACAGTAAAATTGTAATATTGGTTTCTGCTACATTATTTTCTTCAAAGCAAAACAGAATGATAGAATATTAAGCAAATCATGCTCTCCTCACAGAACACCTGTATACTTTTGGTCAAATTACTTATGTTTGGTTATTGTCAGGTTGAAAAGAAAAAACCCACATTTGCGCCCAAATTTTTGTTTGGGCAATGCTACTGAAGCTGAGGGGGGAAAAAAAAGATTACAAATTTTTGCTGCTCTCCACAAGAGTCTTTGGAAAACTTTCCCCTCCCCAGTACTTTAGCAACTAGTGTATAGATAGCTTCAATAATTTCCCCCTGTAGGAAAATGTGTCAAAATAATATAATAATATCTGATGTGACTATCCCAGTCCCTCACAAACCTATCATCTAATTACATTTATAAACATATTTTTCCTCACAACTGTACTTTTTTAATATTAACTAGGAAAACTCCAGATTAAAACACAGAGGCACCTATTTAAATCATTAACACTCATTATATCTTAGTAGAAAATATACTGCTTGTAGTACTTTTAATTCACTTTTGAAGCTAAGATTTCACATGGACAGGACTTCTAGAAAAGGTATAGCTGTTCAAATATTGTAAAGCTACATACACATTTCTACATCTGAAGTCTGTGAATAAAGAATTCACAATATAAAACTGGTTTGAAAAGTAAGTATTTATAAAATGGACACTTTTTCCTAACAAAATTTGAATTACCTAACAGGGGATTTGACAAAGATCAACATCATGTCCTAATCCAGCAATAATGTCAAAACATCCTAAAACTTCCCACAAATCAAAGAATCTATAGCTGTAAGGAAATACTAATTTAGCACTTGACATCACAACATGTTTTATTTATTACTTCTAAGTGATGCAGGTTTTGGTGCAAACATTGTGTCACAAGGGGCAAACTAAACAGGTGCAGTGAAAATTAAACTTCAAAATATATATACAAAGGCCTATCGGGAAGGGATTAACTTCTAGAAAATACTCAAATACTTCCTTAAGAACAGCTATTCAGAACAAGCACTTGAAAAACATAGCTGAAAAACTAACAGACTATGACCTTGTTATAGCTGAAACTTTCAGGCAGTACTACTGAAAGGAATTAACTCATTACAGCCATGCTGAATGTAATAAATAGATATATATGTATATACTTCCAGGGTTTAATGTTCCAAAAGAGTGAAATTCTTCATCCTTCAGGCTGCTGGCTGAAATAAGCCTCCTAAAGCAACACTAAATGTGCAGCTGTCTCACTCAGGGCAGGCACTTTGTGGAGCTGACCACTAAGCAGTGCACAGTTGTTCTCAATGCAGAGCTGCACGCAGTGGCCTATGTGGCTCCTTTCAGGTATTTCAATACCATAATTAATAAGAATGATCATACAGCAGAGCTATGGACCACAAGCATCTACTTGTGACAAAGCTGATGAAATAAGAAAAGCTCCAGACACTGTCTACCTTGCAACGTAGACAGGGAGCTTCGTAGTTTTCACCTGTTCCCTTCTTAAAAAGACATTAAATACTATTAAAAAGGCAGAGAACAACTGGTTTTGGATATGTTGTTTACACGACAACATGGGGGACCTGAATCCTCTACTCTAGTCTATGAACCACTGCTTTTAAAGCAGAGGTTACTGTAAAAGCAGTATCTTCAAATCCTGCCAAACTCTGCAGGTCTTTATTTTCCTGAATCAATATCCTTTTAAAAAACTCAAGACAATACACCAATTAAATCACTGTGAGCTTTAAAGAAAAACTGCAGTAAATCATGACAGTTTTTCAAAGGCATTACCATGTCTCCCATAAGTTCTGCTTTCACAATCCTCGCTCCCAGTCTGTTCATCTCCTCTTCACTAAGGACCCGAGGTGGCTCGTCCTTTGATGATCTGCAAAACACCAGCTGCACTCAACCCATAGGAAAACAATGTGGTAGTCACCTGTGTAATTAAGTATTATGTGCCTACTATACTGCCACGTATGTTCCTATTGTCAAAATAATTGAAAACAACACATCATAAAAAAATATTTGCAGTCACAAGTTGCCAAGGATTCTGAAACTGAAGAACTTAAACACAATTTTTATGAAGTTTGTTTCCTTTTACTTTTGCAATCAATTAAATTGAAAAGCAGCACCTATAAACATTTTCCCAGCATGAAAAAACAAATTAAGATTTAAAAAAAAAAAAAAGAAAAAACTATGGGAAACAGAAGCAGAAGGAGTTATTTCAACCCACTCTAATTCTCCTTTTAGGCTTTGGCCATGCTTTTACTTCTCAGCTCCAGTAAAATCACCCATTTATGACTTCTTCTGCTACCCATGTCTTGAAAACTACATATTTTTCCACATTTATCTGTTCACAGTACAATCTCTGTTTTTAACATGCTATGGGTGATAGAGTAGTTTCCATGGAAAATTAACTGGTACCATTTTGAAATATGAAGCCACGCTAGAGAAGCTACAGCTAGTAATAAACAGTATTGTATCTTAATTTTAATATTAAAAGGTCAGTGTATGAGTTCTTACGATATTGAATGAAGTCTCTAGGAAGTACTGCAAAGAGGCATCAAGTAAGTTTGACTCTTGTGCTCTAACCCTAGGAAACACAAATCCAACTAACACTAAAAGCAAAATATCTTGTGCAATAGAGACATAAGAATTGGTTCCTGCTACTAAAAGAGAGAAAGATAATTCACTCACTACTCAATATAGCTAAACCCTGTAGGATTTGTAGAACAGGAAAACTCTAAAGATGGTGTCATCTTTAACTGCCAGATCTCCCCAGTCCTGAAAAAATAATCAAAGTTAACTTTTGTTTTCAAGACACCCAATATAAACCCCAAAAACTCAGCAGACTTTACACTAATTTCACCAGAAACAAAACCCCCAAAGATTAAGTCCTCACTTTCCCTTAACCTCCGTTTTTTCAAAACAAGGCAGACTTATTTCAGTAACAGGAACAAGAGGTGTTTATTACTTCATGTATGCCATTTTCAAGTGGTGCTAGTGCTTGAAACATCATCTGAACTTTTTGAGACCCAAGACATTGTTTTGATTTGCTTTTTATCTTTTCTCAAATTAAACTCTGAAGCAGTCACATTATTAAGTGTGACTTCCTGCAAACACTAGCTGATGGACTTTTCCTCTGGGGAGATCCCTTGGACATCCAATCAGCACTTTTAATTAACCTGTGTCATAACAGTCCAAAATACTTTGATTTATAGGCTGAAGAAACTTCCTCTGTGCTTTAGAAGGGATAAAATTCAAAAGCTATACTTACAGCCTGAGAGATGAGGAACTGAACCAGCAGTACCTATTAATTCAAGCCATCACCTTAAGATGTACTTTTTGTGACTGAGTGACAACACCACAGAAGGAGTACATGTATTACAAGTCTTGAAACTTTAGCAAGAAAAGGAAAGCGGCAGCTTATAAATTATTCCCAACAGAATAATATCCAAACCTGAAATGCTCTAAAAGCCAGAATTCTCTACAGCATTCTACAGAAAAAAAAAAATACAATTCTCACTGAAGGGAACAGGAAGACAGGTCTTTTCAAACACACAGAAACTCAGGAGTTAAGAGTGAGCTTAAAAGAATCTGGAAATGTTAAGTCAATAAGCAGAGGCTATATGGTTTTCTAAGCCTAAGTAACCTCCACTTTACTAATAAATCAGCTCAGTAATTGTATTGGCTAAGAAATATAATTAAAATATCAAAGAAGATACACAATTGGGTTTAACAGTACTAAATCAGAAAACATGCAAAAGAAAATATCAGCCAAACAGTTTCTACGCTTAGCTCTCTTCTGTGAGGAAAAGAAAAAAATTATCTTTTCTAGCACAATAACTGAATTACTTGAACTTGAATAAGCAAACCACTTCCGTACACAATTTCATTTCACAAAATTAACAGCTTTGTCCAGTTACAATTAGCAGTACAATTACTACATGTGGCAAACAAAAGCTAAAAGGTACATTTTTTTGTACTTGCAATTAAAAAAGTGAATCACCACTACTGAACACAAAAAACACTAAAAAGAACTAAAAACCAGACTACTAGACTGTAAAGGAGTAGCTGCTTCTTTGAAGAAAACAATACTGAGGCAACTAACTTTTACTTGGTAATTACACACTCTACAAGGTCTGGCTGGGATGGAATTTAAGTTTTCCATAGCAACGTGGTGGTGCACTTCCCTCCCCATTGCCCCCACTCCTCCCCCTCCCAGGGCACTCTATGATCCCAGAAATTCCCACTGTGCCTTGGCCTTTCTGCAATGAGTTGGGTGGTGAAGTGTCCCTTTACTGTACCATGAACTCTTGCATGGCTAAGGTGGGAGTGCACTGTCCGTACCAGGAACTCCTCTTGCCTGGCCAAGGTGGGAAACGAGCACGAATAATTAGTCATCCCCTGACAGCCTTAGAACATTACTCACCTGAATCACAGCCCAAGTGGAACAGTACCACTGTTACTGGAGTTTAAGATTCCAGTTTCTGATCCAGACTGTGGCCAGGATGGAAATTTACCCATGACTAAAGCCCAGCATGTTGTGACACTACAAACTGCAGTGCTAAGTGAGGTCCTCTGAGCTCTCCTGGACCACAGTGGGCAGTGGCAGCAGCACACCCTGAGTGGGACACCTCTCAGAACTTGCCAACTCTCCAGTGTGCAAAGTTCAGAGGACCATCAAAGAAAGCTGATGACGAAGCCTAGGCCAAAATCCTCCACTCCTTGAGGCTCAACTCTTGCCCATTGAGAAGTTCCAAGACATTTAAGTATTTCACTGAACTTGAGGGGAACCCTTAACAGGCATACTTCTGTACATTTATACATATATATCTTGACACATTTATACACATATATCTCTACAGAAATATCTCTTTGCATCTGTGTGTATGCATGTGAATTGATTTAGATACCCTACAGCAAGCATAGTGTGAATGTTGAAGTCTTGGATCTGTAATTAAGCCACTGTTCTAATTGTAGTAAATTCTATTGACTCATATTGTAAAGGTTAAATTAGTCAATGATGAAGTACTGCTAAAATCTTGTGACCCATCTTAAAACTGTGAGTAAAGCTTATAAGTTATATCAGAAGCCATGTAAAAATTTCACATGGTAAACTGATACTTTTGCAACATCATAACAAGATCAGCTTTTGCTGGTAACTTGGACAGTGGTTCTTTAAGTGATCCTAATGGTTACAGATGCAATCCTTCAGATATCAATGGTTGACCAAGTCTGAGACTATGAATGGACCTAGCCACACTTACTCTCCATTAGGACTTTAGAAAGCAAGGGAGCTCAACTCAGAAACTTGTGACTCAGC